ATTCCAGTCCGTCAGTGAGTTGAGACAGTGTGATGCAAGCGTGACTAACACAGGCAATCGTTTCATTAACTCTATTAAGTCCCTCAGTTACTTGTGTTAAGATCTCTCCCATGTTGTGTCCATATGTTAGTGAACCATATATATGTGTTCATTTATCAGAGTTTGCTGCAAATGAACCATAGAGCTCAGTGCATTAAATTCATGGATTTGACTTCTGCTGTGGCCGACACCGACAGACAATACAAAGTGATTCACAGGGTCCAGCTCAGACCTAAGGGGAGAGCAGGAGTCGAGCTGGACCCTCTGAAGCCACGGACAGGAGGATGTTGTCCAAACTCTCCATCGTAGACAATGTCTCCCACAACGTCTCCAACCCTCATACACAGCACTCTGAGTGTGACGGCTCGCATAAAAAAATATGGACTGACTTTATTATAGACTTGATTTTGTTAAAGGATCAGTTTAAGATTTAGGTAAAAGGTATTTATTGGCAGAAATTGAATATAAAAGCATTGTAGTGATGTTGTCATTAGTGTGATCATCTAAATTGTAAAACTATTTTCTTTAACTTAGAATAAGGCCTTTATTTTTTAAATACTTTATACATACATCAGGAGCAGATCCTCTCTACGGAGGCCGCCACATTCCACTCTTCATCCGTGTACCATCACACATCTGGGGTTAATTCAGTGTTAAATTACCATTAATCTACTTTGATGTTTGCATTGTTGCCTGTATGTCAATATCGTAACTGAATGTTAAGAGATTTTCAGACAAAAATGTCACTGCAGGGATCATAAATGTTTTTTGGGTTCTGAACTTAACTAGTCCAATCATGTCACCCTGAGGCTCCGTCCTCTGAGCAGCACAAACATCGACTCCATAAGGGTGTCCATCCTCAATCTGTGTCTCACACAGCCTCATCTCAGGCTAAACAACTTCCCTCTCATTGCAAAAGAAGGTTAATACAATGATTATGTTTCCTCTTGAGAGCATCTGGCAGGGTTAGATATGCCTCAAGTATCCTGTCTTTGCCCCAGGAGTGAAGTAGACATGCTGCATAATACCAAATACATCGAGGAGTAAATATCTTGTATGTATATCTTGGTGTAGTAGAGTTTTCTCATATATTTTTGTTTTAGAGCTGACCTGTGTTTCTGCTGCTGAGACACGAGCTCTGTTGAAAGAGCGAGCCTTGAACAGAACAAGTGTTTGAGATGGAATTCTCAATTCTTGGGCTCAAGGTGTTTCTTTGAGCAACAAACACATACAATGTAGATTAATGTTGCTGTATATACATATAGATGGAATATATGACAGCTCTCCAGAAAAAGCCAAAGCATCTTGATCGCCTCCTGGTGGCTGGCTGCAGTAAAGGTCATAAACCCTGTCGCCTCCATGTTAGTAGATGGGACATGGACAACAGGCTTTCTGTTTTTTGTGTATTTACCTGACCTCACCCCCGATGTGCAGTGGAAAAAGTTTAATATCATTTTAAGACTCATCATGCTAAGGTTGTGTATCAATAATCTAACATTAACAAAACTAAAACTTCAAAGTACAGGTCAAATCATTTTTTCTCAAAGATGGTTTCTGTCATTTTAGGTAGTTCTTATCACACTGTTTGTACAAGTGCTGTTTTTTATGGTAAATTATGTTTTAATTATTTTTTTGTTATTATAAAAACAGGGGGACATGTCATGATTGAAAGACAAGAATGAATTGTGATTGGTCAGCACCTCCCTACCATGGCTCCATCCACTTACCGCTACTGAGCAGTCTCTGGCTCCAAACGGGTGTAATCGGCGTAAGATGGCAGTGTTCAAATCTGGGATATTTTGGCTTCCTTTCTGGAGAGTGGGAAGAAGTGGAGACGCATTGTCTCAGTTTGAGTGAGGAATGAGAATCACAACAGGGAACATCCCAGCTGCAGAGATAAAACGGATCCGCCAGAAAACAGGCAGAGCGAGGAGGAAGAACAGACTGAGGGAGATTTGGACGATTGATAGTAACTCCACCTGACCATGAACAGACTGGTAAACAGTCCTTTACACAGAATGTACAAGTTTAATGTTTGGTTGATGGTGCAGCCTTCTACATTGCATCGTATGCAAATGATGGCATTAACGTGTCATAAACTAAAGTTAGTGTTAGTGTCACCACGTTGTTGTGGTGCAGTGAGGCTCGTAATGAGAAGAGAGGAGGAGAGAGCATGCACTGTGAACTCATTAAAAATATAAACACACAGTTATATGATGTTATCACTACTAGAATATTGATCAGTACTTTTTATTACTCCCATTTAATGTCTCATGTTTCTTACCTGCCTTTTGTCTGTTAAAGGAAGAGGAGGGAAGAAGACAGCATGTACTGTAAACCATCTTATATAAAAGCATGAATATTAAATCTATGAATTCTTCCACATTACTTTGGTTGCTGAAGTTGATTAATAACTGCATCTCCTATCCTGGAGAGAGGAAGAAACCCAGCAAAACGGGGATCAGCAGCACATCACTGTAAACCCACTCATTTAAAAAGATAAACATGGATATTCATTTTTATCTTATATAATATTCCTATAGTGATCCATATTTCCTCTCCACCTGATTTATTAACTGTTGTTCTTGTCAAAAGGGATTGAGATGTGACTGCTGTGATGAGTTTGAATATACATTTGTATTTACATTAATTATATGTTATCTTATTGGACTTAAGGATTATTGATTTCTTCGTTGTGCAAATGTAATTTCTGAACATGCGGCACAGCTGAGGCTAAATGCCACAGCAGGACAGAGAAAGTGAAAAGAGGGGTTGTAGTTATTTACATATAAAGTATTAATGATATGAATTTCTTCCTCTTGATATTTTCTTTATGCATCCAGATCAAGTTCCTGCTTTCCTACAAGACATGAACTTCTCTGTTGAGACACGCTATTTGACATTAATTAACAGATACCTGAGTGAAACTATAGGGACGTACTTTCCCGAGAAGATGACCTTTGAAAAGCTTCCTTAGTTTCATGTGAATTCAATTTATCAGAACCCTCCAGTGCAGAGAAAGATATCACATAAGCAGAGGTGTTGGAGGAAGTGAACCGAATGAGTTACTGGCAGATGGGAGCATTTTGTATCGTAAATCAGCCTCTCCACGACTTTGAGTTGTGTTTAGATTTTCTGCTTTAGTTGTTTTACAAGGTCATACCATCAGTGCATTTTTTATTATAATTTATAGCTTCAATGTACTTTGTTTCATGTTTATACTTAGAATTTTTAAACAGATTTATCCATTGTATTTGTTTGACCTCTTTTAATGCTTTCTGATTTTAAATTATTTTATTTGAGTGTGAACCTGTAAAGCACCTTAAACTTACCTCTGTGTATGAAATGTGCCTCATAATAAAACTGCCTTGTCTGAATTAGTCCTTATTTTTTTAAATGTATTTAGAAGTTTAAAGAGTTTAAAATCCTCTGAATGTTGACCTTCAGATTTTTATAGCCTTATTATGATCTTCTGTCTCCTCTGTGGAATGAATACAACTCATCTGAACCAGCTGCAGAATTGGACCTTTTTTTTTAATTCATCCACAATTTGCCATGTTGGCAACTCAGGAACAATGAGGTTTAACACCTGTTTTACACTGTTCTCATTTCAAGAACAGTGTATTTGTTAAAAAGTCTGCTGGAGATTTCATGCAGTTTTAGCTTCAGCAAGATGGGTTGCAGTTGCATATTATTGATGAGAAACCCGCTTTTGCCTGCCTCTGTCTGAATGAACAAGGACACATGCTTTCAAAGATTACTAAGACTTTAAAGGGAGAGTTCTCAGAAAAATGAAAATTCAATCCATTCACTCACCACTATTCCAATGGAGGGGTGGGTAGTCTACAAAACACTTTAGGAGTCTCAGGGGTGAACAGTGTTGCAGCCAAATGGACCCCCTTCTTCAGACATAAGAAAAAACATCAGAAAAAAATACAACATGCCTCCATACTGCTCCTGTGGTGACATCCAAGTGTCCGACATTCATATTCCAATCGAAACGGTTTCATTTACAACATGTTTTTAGCCTAAATTTCCTCTGATAGCCTCCTAGGAGGCGTGTTCACATTCTCACGGACACACCAGAAAACCGCACACACTCGCCCAAGGGTACGCGTGGGATGCCCATTAACATTGCTATGTCCCCTCACTTTATTTAACGGACTTTTATGCTAAAAACTTGGGGTAAATGATGCCATTTCGAGTCGAATATGAATGTTGGGGCTTGGACACCACACGAGCAGTATGGAGGTATATTGTATTTATTTCTGGAGTTGTGCTACGGCTGAAGAAAAGTTAACTTTGGCTGTAATTCTGTTTACCCCTGAGACTCCAAAAGTGTTTCATGGACTCAAACACTTCACAAGTGGATAATGAGTGAATTTAAATTTTTCGATGAACTATCCCTTTAATGTGGCAGACCTGCCGCCATTTTCGTGTTTGCATGGAAAGCTTGGCGAGCAAAGCAACAGCAATTCAGGGAGCGAGGCTCAGAGGTTCGGATCGAAATCCAAACGGACAAATTGAGGCAGCTGTAGTTCAGGTCATAACGGGTTCGCTCTTAATTGCAAGAAACGTGGTCCACATGTCCAAGTGTCCTTGTTAAGTAAGACACTGAACCTCAATTACTCCTGATGGATGAGGGGGGGGGGGTTGCTTTGGTCGTGGAGTGCCTGCCAACTTCTTTAATAACATAATCCTATTTAAAGGCGTCAAGGGGGAGACACTCGGGTTGTAACCAGACAAAAATCAGCTTTTTAACAAGAAGCAAAGTGTGATAGAGTTAATCCTGGTGACCTAGTAAGAGTGTGTTTATGTCTGTGTGAGTTTCACTGATGGTTCTGAGAATATCTCCAAAGTTCAGCGTGCGCTCGGGGCTCGCTGTCTCATGCAGAGCGTCATCAGGCTGACAGTTTATCACTCACACTCAGCGCAAAGGACAGAGAGCACGACTGGCACAATGATATGTTTATTGAGAGGCTTTGGATAATAGAAAAGGTGGTGGCTGCTGCTGGAATGTCACAACCATCGACGAAAAACATGGACATGGACTCCCTAATCTAGTTGACACTGACACACACACCCACCCATACACACACACACACACACACACACACTCCTCATTCCCTTCACTCAAGAGAAGAAAGAATTTACAGCAAAATGCACAGGACGAGACAGTATCACAGTTTCTACTAGCTCATTTCTACATGAAAAATTTCACAGTAAACACATGAGGGAGATTTTCTTCATAGGCACGGCAAAAGCAATAAAATGTGTTAAATCTCAACAACGACAAAATAACGATTGAAAAATAAAAACATCTTCAGGAAATCCTCCGGCGCCCAGATGGACTGAATGTTTACACTGGATTTGAGGTGGAAACATCTGCCTTTTGCGCCCCGCAGGGTCTCGAGCTAAAGGTCGCACTCACAGCAAAAGGAGAGCATGGTGTACGGGCACATGCATAAACTAATGAAAGGACAGAAAAAATGTCTGCATGTGTTTTCTCTGCTCCAGAGTAAGGACTCAGTTCATCTGGAAACCTTCCCACTGTATACATCTTTATATGATCTCTTCCTATATATATACACATTGAGGAATCGCAGAACTTGGGACCAGAACATTTAATATAAATGTAATCCCAGGTCAGTCAGAAGAATGGCTATTAGAGCGTTTTTAGTCAACATACAGCTCCACTGGTCCACGTCCAGCGGCTTTTTGAAATAATCATTTACGAGTAAGTAACATACAGACAATATCACGGAACGTCACTTCAGCTGTTTCTTTTTTTTTTGTTGCTCTTTTTCAAAATTTGCAATTCAAGTTCAGAAAGTTCACTGTGCTGTCCTGTCTGCGCAGAGTTCTTGACAAGTCCGCTAAATATATAACAAGGTAATCATCGATAATTTAGCAGCCCCACCCCCCCCTCCTTGGCGTGCTGACACAACAAGAACACCAAGACAGACCCTCACACTTCTTCCTCCGTGCAGGTTTGTTTTTTTTAAGTAACATCTTTCGTAGCAGCTGGACTATGGGAAAGCACGATAGCTCTGTGAAGGGACGTAGGTCTTGTACGTTAAATGAGTACTGCTGAGTGGTAAGCTGGTGTTTGTCATTTGTGTGAAGGGGACACATGCATGTTTGTCTCACTTGAGGACTAGGTTTGGTTGTTGGTTATTTGTCAATACTCTACAGGAGCCTCAAGGATCCACAGTAAAACAAGGAAGCACCGAGGCAATGAGAAGTTAGACGACACAAAAAATATAATCTTAAAAACTGAAGAGTATTGCTGGCATTTACAGTCAGTTCTCACATGACTGCTTCAATAGAAAAACAAATCAAACTTGCTTCTGAATTTTAAATGTCCCATTTTGTTCTGTTGGATTTCCGTTTCGCATCGTGATATTTAGCAGAAGTAACGTAGTTACACTAAAAACTGAATTTAATTCCTCGTCAGCCTGAACCCTGATTGGCTGAAAAATCAAACTCTCATACAAATGAGGTAAATCTGCTGGTGGAGGTCCACCCATGCCATGTAAAATACATGGTCTTGATTGGCCACATTGAAGTCCCTCTATAATGAGAGCCAATCAAAATCAATTCAAGGTGTGATGTGTTTTGCTAGAGTTATGCTGCGTTCATGTGACATCATAATTATCAGGTTCCCACTTCTAGAAGTTGATTCATATTATCCAAGTAACTGAGTAATTATGATATTATAATATATAGAATATACATAATTTATATATTTGCCTGAATACATCTCAAACCAGCCTTAATCCGCGATTAAAGACCAATTCAACCCAGATTCAAAGCCTGCAGTGATGTATTTTTAACAAACAACAACACTGCCCTCTTCAACACTTTATGACATGGACAATGCATTAGTCTAAAAATGGACCCACAGAGTCCATGTGTCAACATAACAAGATCAAATCTGCAGCACATGGCCCTACAGTCCATTCAATGATGGTTGGCTGCTTGATGGAGCTTTTAGGTAATCTTTGTCAATTTTATATGGTCATGTCATTTGTACCAGGTCCATGTGCTAAGGTGAGCCATCACTGGTAATCATATCACATGAACCAGACCAATTACAGGTTGTCAAACTGGTTGTGAAATTGAGGAGAATTTTTTAATTTAATTTTTGAAAAGAATGCACTTTAATGTCAACAAAGAAATTTAGAATTTCGGATATTTACGTAACATGAGTGTTTTAGTTTTTCTTTGATACAATGTCAGCGTCCCAGGCTCTTACCCGGGTCTGAATGTCCTGCTCTGTGCTACTGGCTGAATGAGCTACAGCACCAGAGTGATACTATTGCTTCACATACGGCATCATGATGAACGCTGGACGCTCAGTGGCAGTGTTAAAAGCAACAACACACACATCCAACAGATACAGCAATGGGATGGCACGTGGGGGAAGGATTTTTAGCCAAAACTTGTCAGTTTGAGATAAAACTCTTCATCTTCACAGCTAAAATGGTTCATCACAGTGGCAATGGCGTTATGGCTGTGTGTTATATGTTTGTGTGTGTGTGTAGGTGAGTGTTTTCCTGAATGAGAGACAGACATGCTGTGTGCTTGTTTAGATAAGCCCGTGCCTGGATATACAGTACTGCATCCAATGTTTGAGCGTGAGTGTGTGTGTCAACTCAGCAGATGGAGTTTGATTCTCACCACTGGGAAATCTGAATCCCACAATGCACTGGGAGCGGCGCCAAATGAGGAAGCAGAAGCAGCAGCAGCAGCAGCAATGAGGAACCAATAACAGCTTGAATTATGGAAAAAAAGTGATTTCCCTCGCTCTCCTTTCTGTTGCTGTTCCTCCTGGACCGGTCATTGTTGTGCTATCTTTCAAATGATTTGGGTCTATAGCATGAGTCAATACTTAACTCATGTGCATAAAGCACAAACACATCTATCACAGGCGCAGTTAAACCGATTAACACTGATCACAAAGGAAAACCGGGGCTGATTCAGAGCGAAGTGGAGGGTGGTTCCACGTCCTTCCCTTTTCTTTGTTTCTGAGCAGACAAATACAGAAACATCTGAAAATCCTGTCCTCAGACAAATCTCTCCAAAATAAAAAGAAACGTGTCATTGTCAAGTCTATAGAGGAGATCATTCCAAATCTTCCCTACTTTTGCATGGGATCTCTTCTTTATTTCAGGGTTTTCCCAAATCCCCCTTCAGTCTGTAGGAATGTTTTTTGTTGGATTGCTGAGTTGAAGAGGGACAAAGGACAGAGGAGCTGATGATGACGTTTTCCAAGCATCTTCAAAACACAGCTTATCACACACGACTACGACCAGCAGTTAACATGAGGACTCAGTACAGCACTAACCAGTAAAAGCACAAGAGTGTAATAAAAAGAACAAGGTGCTCCCTGTAAAACGGGAGGGGATGAAGACATGAGCTGCGAAAACCATTACGATGTGTCAAAGCAAAGTGATGACATCACATTCCTCTGCCCAAACCAGGGTTCGGATCTAAAGAATCTAATCATTGTCATGGTGTATGTGTGAGTGTGTGTGTGTGTGTGTGTGTGTGTGTGTGTGTGTGAGGGTCTGACCTACATGTGATTTTGCAGCCAGAATTTCGCTTTTTAATCTATCTCCATAAACCTAATTTTAATGTTATAATAATTCAATATCTGCATTGTAAAACCTCTGAAAAATGATTTAAGTATTTTGAAAGTCTTTATTGAAATCCAGACTGATGACTTTAAGGCAGAGTGGAGCAGGTGTTTTTTGAATACGTCAACATAACGGTTTCTCTGGCTAGATATCTGATGTTTGCTAAAATCAGGAAATAATCTGATGTTAACTTCCCAGTATCTATGACCGCACAATTATATATCCATCTAACCCTCAAGTGTGTTAATACATGTGCATATGTTTGCTTGCTCACAGTGAAAAACAAAAAACATGTCTTCCATCCCCTGTAGCCCTTCTTTGGCGGGTCTGGAACAAAAAGCAAGGTCTTGCCTTCCCAAATAACCAATCACAGTCCAGCGGTGGATTGCAAGATTGTCAAAATAAATCGGTACAAACACCTCGATGTGAGGTACGGACGGAGAGAAAAAGGGAGGAAGAGGAAGAGGAAGAGGGAGGCGGCTGGTTTGTCCGAGTTAAGGGTCTGTGTCTGTTTTCTTCGGAGAGGAGTCCTGTTGGTCGCCTTTTGTTTTCGTGCTACTGCAGGCCCAGCAACTGAAGACTGGTCTCCCAGAGGCTCAGCTTGAGCTGGGGGTCAAAGGTCGGCGGTGTTGTCATCTCCCTGCACCCATTGGCCCAGTAGCTTCCTCCACACTCCCCCTCCAGGGCTGGTGCTAGGGCAGCGTGCAACACAGTGGCAGCGCCCTCTACAGGGGTCTGTGGACAACATACACACAAACACGCACCAGCTGAATAAAAAAAGGAATGAGAGAGACTGCAGGATGACAAGTTCAACAACAAGTTATCGCTGCGAAAACAAAGAACTTGTCTGTGTGTGTGTGTATGAATGCCAGAGGACGACTCATGTCATTGTTTGTTAGTGTCAGCGAAAAGAAGGCTCAGGGTACGTGCCTGTCTGTGTCTGTGTGTGTGTGTGTGCCTGCATGCATAAGTGTGCATGTGCGTGAGTGTTAGAGTTGATGCTTTTTAACAATGATCTCAGTGTCAGTTGTGAGACCAGGAGCAGGTTTCAGCAGAGAGGAGAGGGGATCACATCCTGCGAGCATCAACACTGGCATACTCTGTGTGTGAAATAGTGCCTGTGTGTGTGTGTGTGTGTGTGTGTGTACCATAGTACTCCACAATATTTCCCCAAAATATATTTGACAAAAATTTGTTTCCATGACAACAGGCCGCTCCTGAGTGACTTGTTGCTCTGTTGTATCTGATTTTGCCAAAGATGCTGCTCAACAATATTCACCATTTCACCAACCGACTGTGTCCATTTTTAAAGAGCATCAGAAAACCAAATACCTTTAATTTATCAGCT